TTTGCTTTGTCAGATATTGTAGCACTTATCTTTTTTTTAAATTTGATTGATGCCCAGTAAATTTTTTCCATGCCTTAAGTTTTATTTTGCTCATGTCTTTGTCTTTCAGATGTGTTTCTTGTAAGCAGCAGATTGTGAGGTTTTGTTTTCTCAATGTAATCTGTCCCTCTTTTTCATTTGATTGGATTGCTTCATCTATTCACCTTTAAAGTTACGAGTTTGGTTTATGTTTTCCTCCGTCTGTCTCTAATATTGGGCTTTTTTTCAAGTTATGATTCTTTTCCCTTTACTGTTGTAAACTGTGTGTCTTCGGTTACTTGATGTTAATCTTTTTGATAATGGCTTTATTCCCACTGGTTCTCTTCCCCTCCCCCAATTCTCTCCTCTCATTTGTTACCCTTTTCCCTGTGGGATTTTGCTTATTAGTTCCTTTTTCTATCTTGCTTTTGTCTGGTTATATATTTCTTCCTTCACCCCTTTCTTTCCTCTGAGTTAGTCAAGTAAATTCCCCCTTCCTCTCCTGCTCTTCAACTAATCATCTCCATTAATTTTTTAAACTTCTCTTTCTTTTTTTTTCCAAAGGTGGTTTCTCCCTTTTCATTTTTCATCCTTTCTACTCTAGAGCTCCATTCTTATAGTCATGACCCTTATAATTATCTATTTCTCTATTCCTCATTTAATCAAAGTTTGTAAGGTATACATTCTAGGCTCTCCCGCATAGGTGGTTTCTGCCCCTGTCTTACCAAGCTTGCCCTATGGACTCCCCTTTTTCATTGTCCTTCACTGTTGGAATAATGCCAGTTATTGAGGATGTCAAAGAGAGAGGACACTGCCCCATGGTTGGGCTCCTGTCCCAAATGTCTTTGATTATGCATCCCACTGTAGATCAGTACCCTCCTCTGGTTACCTTCGTTCCCCATTTGCCTCATTCTCCTCCTAGGGTCCATGCTCTCTCACTCCCCCGTGTGCCAACTGTCCCCAGGAATTGCATCTTCCCCCCCTCCTGAGGTAGGACAAGTAGACTTTTCAAGCACCAAGTTCCCTAGGTCACACCCAGCGCAAGGTCCTGATCTCTCTTTACAGAATCTCACTCTGTACTCATAGGAGCATTCAGCAGAAGAAGCCCCTCCCGCCACCAAAGCCAGCTCTCTTTCTCCTTTTTTCACTCCTCCTCCCTCTCTCTCTCTCCCTCCCTTGTAGGATCTTCTCCTCCTGAGAGCACAGCGCTCACCTTCCCTTCATTACTAGCCCTCAGTTTGACCTGGGTACATCACACACTCTTCTTGATCACTCCGTTCCATTCCCCTCCTTTCCAGTAACCTCCCAGGTTATGATGCAGTGCCACAAAAGCCATCGGTTCATCTGTGGCAGGCATTGGCCAGGCCCTGGCTGCAAAGTTGCAGGCCTCCCCTCTACCATCATCTCCCCTGACTTCTAACTTTGTCCTCACCTCTTTGGCTACAGTCGGAGTCAGAAAGAAGTTTCTCCCTATCTCTTTGTTGTTACTCTGTTGTTGCTGCCCTTGGCTGTGACATTTATTCACTCTTCTTGCATTTCTGTTGTTTGGGCTTTTTGAGAAGCAAAGACTCTTAATTTCTGATTTTCTTTCTAAAAATGTTTCAAATTTTTTACTACAGATTTCCCGAGTAGGTCACCCTGGACTGTATCCTGAGCTTCATTGCTCTCTAGAACACATTCCATTCTCTTCTGTGCTGTCTGGTGGGTGCAAAGTTGTCTTGTGTTATTTGTATTTGAACGTCTTTCTCCTGATTGCTTCAGAAGTAGTTGTTTCTGAATTTAATTGTTAAATTTAACTACTGTGTGCCTTGAAGTTTGCAGCTTTGGCTTTTTTCTGGAGGTGATCCATGAATTCTTTCCATTAGTATTCCATTGTCTGTGGTCACAAATTCTGGGCAGTTCTCTTCTGTTATTTCCTTCGCTAGGGTGTTAAGGCTTTTTTGTCTTCTGGGAGAGCTGCGATCCTTAGGTTTTTACTTGCATGTCTTCCATTGAAGTCAGTATGTTTTAATTGCATAATAAGCATGTTTTCTTTTAACATCATTGCTTTTTTGCTTTTCTTCTAGATTATCCTTCACTTCCCAGTCTGCTGTTTCTTTGGTTGTTTCTTTGAACTCTTGTTTTCTTTGGTGAAGATTGCTATCAGAGAGTCTCTTTTTCTCCCTTCTGCCTGTTATTTTTGCTGAGTGCAGGACATACATTCTGGCCTCCTCATTTTTCTTTCTCTTTTGGGCCCCTCAGGGACAGCAGGACAATGTGTTGGCATTCCAGGTTCTCACATTTCCTGGGGTCCTCTGTCTGACCAAGTGTTAGATCGGTTGCCTTTGTTTTTCTGCTCCTCCCTCTCACCCCTTCCCCTAAAGTACAAGCTTCTTGGGGGCAGGGTTCTTCTTTCATTAGGCTTGCATTTGAATTCTCAGCATTTAGTACAGCATCTGGCGTAATAAGTGCTTATCGAGTTAGTGGGTTTGGTTTCTGTGCCTTGTGTGACTGCGCCTTCACCATCTGGCACCAGCTGACCTTTCTATGTTATTCTCTGTGTACTTGTAATTCCAGCCATAACCAGCTTGCTCGGTATTATCCATCCGCGACATGCCACTTGCTGTCTCCCTTGAGAACATCATATCCTGTCTCTGCTAGCCACAGCCTGCTTTGCCCTTGGGCATCCCTTCATGTTCAGTGAAGGGGTTGGGCTAGAGGATCTCCACCGTCCCTTCTGGCTCTGGGGCTAGGCCGCATCCTGACCTCCACTTGGTGGAACTCCCTCCCTCCCTCCTAGTCTCAGCTCAAGTGACACTTCCTATCTCAGGGCTTCTCATCTACTTTGTGTGGCTTGGACCTTCAGATAGTAGGGTGAAGCCTCTTCTCATGATAGTGTTTTTAAATGCAGAAAAAAAATACATAGTGTCACAAAAGAAGCCAATTATCTTCTATTTCAGTTATCAGAATATTAAAACAACAACAATACCCATCAGTTCAAGGACCCAGGTTAAGAACCCCAATCCTATTGGAAGCTAATATTCCCCCAAAAAACGTTTCTCTGTCTCTTTTGTATTTAGTTTTCAATCCCCATGTTAGAATGTAAGATGCTTGAGGGGAGGGACTGTTGGATTTATGTTTGCCTTTGTTATCCTAAACTCGATGGAAATTTAATTGTGCAATTATGGGAGACCCCACATTTAATGACAGTCCCACCGAGCATTATTTAAGGACCACTTTGTAGAAGCAAACAGATGGTGGCTGGGCCGAGCCTCTTGAAAGGGAAATCCATTTTGTTCTTTCTGTTTAGAAGGGGCAAGAGGGCCAGCTGGTCAGATGCAGCTGAAGAGTTTTGGAAAGGGTATGGGAGGCAGATGAACCTCCAGGGTCGTCTCAGTGGAGCCAGGCTTGGAATTTACAAAGGGGGGTACAGAGAAGGATGCAAATCCCTACCCAAAAAGGGAGCTGATCAGCCCCGGAGTATTGGCCCTCGAGGTCCAGTGGAGGAAGAGCTGGCTTTGAAGTCTGAGCCTTTCACCTCCGAGGTTGCTGGCTCCTCATCTGTAAACAAGGGGGTGAATGTGGTGACCTCGGAAGTCTCTGACCCCAAGATGTTGAAAAGGGCCTGGGAGATGGTTCCAGGAGCAGGAGAGCTTTCCAAAGAAGGGTATTTAAGAACTGGGGCTTGAAGTATGTGGGACTTGTGACCGACAGGAAGGTGTCAAGGCAGGTCAAAAACCTGAGGCCAAGTAGACACTCTGGGCTTGGGGAAAGAGTAAACAGGTAAGGGGAGGCAGGAAGGAAAGATAAAAGGTGGAAAGGGAAACTGAGGCCAGAAGGTGGAGAGTCTTAACTGCCACGTCTAGGAGTTTGTGACTTGCCTGAAGGAAGCCTTCCCTCTTGTTGCTGGGACTGAGACTCACTGTCCAGTTAATCAGTCAAAGAGCATTCCTTAAGTATGCCCTCTGGCCACTGGACCCAGGTGGCTCTAGGAGGAGAGAGTGAGGCTGGAGACTTCGCCCAGCCCTGCCTCGCTTGCATGTCACAGCACCGCCTCCTTGATGTCACGGTCCTCTTCGAGAAGGAAGGACAAACAACGACAATAATTAAGTGCACTCGCCAGGCCCCGAGAGTCCATGACTTGCGTCCTCACTCAAGCTGGGGACACCCAGAAGGTCCCTTGAGTCCCGGGCTTTCCCTCGCAGAAAAAGGTAGAGGAGGGTTTGCAGGGTTGTGGTGAGCTTCCAGGAGACGTCATCTGCTCGTCCATCGAGCTTGGGAATGTGTCTAGAGGGGTTCTGGGGTTGGCTAGCCAGCATATGGAAGGAACAGCCAAGCACCCTAGGGTGGCGGGGTGTAGGGACTGGTTTTCTTAGCCCCCAAACCTAGCCAAGGGCCTGGCACCCAATCCTTCCCCCTGATCACTTCCTCTCTCAGTCTGAATAGAATTGTTAAGTGCTTAGCCTGGAGGAGGAGGAGGAGGAAGTGTTAAAAGAAATTAAAAAGAAGTCCTTAAAAGGATTTTATTCATCACACCAAGGCAGCTTGCGTTTGGGGCTAGAAAAGTAACTTCTCTTTCATCTAGATGCTGTTAGATTATGAATCCAACTATTAAAGAATGTGATCAAAATGTTTGAAAACTGTTAAATATTTAATTGGGCAGCTAGGTGGTGGATAGAGCATTGGACCTAGAGGCAGGAAGACTCATCTTGCTGAGTTCAAATCTGGCCTTCGACAGGTACTAACTGTGTTACCCTGGGCAAGTCACACTTAACCCTGTCTACTTCAGTTTCCTCATCTGTCAAATGAGCTGGAGAAGGGAGTGGCAAACCACTCTAGTATCTTTGTCAAGAGAACCCCAAAGAGGGTCACGAAGATGTGGGCATGACTGAACAACGACAACATGTACTTGGGTATGTTTTTCTGGTGATAGAATTGTAACTCTCTCTGAGTGTCATTTTTCAAGTTAGCAGCATTTCTGATACAAGTTTCCCCAAACTCACCGAATGAGAAGAAATGTAGAAACACGACTGATTGCTGTTTGTCCTTTGTGCTCCAAGAGGCTGGATGACATCAAGCAGGGCTAAGAAACACAATAACACACACAACGTCAAGCATTTAAAACATGAAACAAAACTTAGGCCGGTCAGGTGACGTCAGTTCAGTTAGATGCATTTCCAAATTACCTTATGCGATTTTTGTCATTGTCTGCCAGTTGCATTCAAGACCAATACAGAGTGGTTTTGATCCAAATGTGCCTTTAACAAAACCTGATTTTGCACGTTCTAAACACATTGTCATAATGCCAAATACTAGGTGTCTCTTCCATTAAGGCCTGATTTCCTCAAATTCCCTGCTGCAGAGATATTTAGACTGGCTGGCAGTGTCAGAGACTCTGGTTTTCATGGCAGGGACAAAGTATTGGGAAGAGGGTAGAGGAGAAAGAGCGGAGGGGGAAAGGGAAGAGGAGGAGGCAGGGGCAGCTGTTTTCAGATATTTGAGGGCTGCCCCTTGGAAGGAGGATTGGATTGGCTTTGCTCGGTCCTAGGCCGCCCAACACCTAGAATCAAAAGCACCTGCAAAGTTCAGCCTCAAAAATGAAAGTGTGTTCTAAGGAGATCCTTGCACTCAGCAGAACTCTCCCAGGTGGGACAGGCTGCCCTGCCCGGTGTGCTAGACCAGGTGTTCAGGGGAACGTGGGGGCATGGGCATCGCTGGGGGAGCGTAGAGAGGATTCTGGTTGAGATGAGAGCTGAGGTTTCTGATGTGAGTGGCTGTGATTCTGGACTTCAGGGCAGGAGGGATGCTGTCCTGGGGCTGGAATCCCAGGGAGGGAAGGAGTGAGGACAGTGCCCCGAGAGCCTGAGAGCTCCCTGGCTTTCGGCTGATCCCGTGGGGCAGCCGCTCTGTGAATGAGTGCAGGGCACCTGGGCTGCTGTCCCCCGCCTCCCTTTCACTTTCCTTCTTGGCCAATAGAAGTGGTACCGTCTGCAGGGAGGAAGGGGAAGGTTTGGGTGCTCAGGCCGGAGGCAGAAACGAAAGCCTTCGCTTTCTTTGGCACACCTGCGGTCGGGGGAGGGGCAGGACACGGCGGGGAGGTGCTCCTCCCAGCCAGTGTTTCTGGCTGGTCGTGCCTCCGAATGCCTTCTCTTGGATTGCTTGTAACGGGGGCTCGTAGATCCGCAGCGGGAATGGACCTCAGAGGCCACTGAGTCAAAGCCGCCCCCCTCCCCTTTTACGGATAAGGAAGCTGAGACTCGGAGAGGGGAAACGGCAGGGAGCATAGAAACCCTACCTCCCAGGGCTGTTGTGAGGACAGAATGAGATTGTAAAGTGCTTTGCAAACCTTAATGTGCTGTATAATTACCAGGTATTGCTAACTCATTTGATCCTCACAACAAACCTAGTGAAGAAGGTGCTATTATTCATCTCATTTCACAGATGAGGAAACTGAGGCACAGAGTCTTCCTGACTCCGAAGCCAGCTCTCTGTCCAGTCCTCCAAGTGCCCTCCCCTCACGACCAGCTCAGCTACATCTGAAAATGGGAGCTTTAGCTTGTCTGCCAAACAGGTGATTTTTCGACGTGGGAGGTCTGTGATGTCCCTCCCGCTCACTCGGGTTCCTCTTTGTTAACGTCTTCTCCCCAACCCCCCCCCCATCTTCTAGCGTTATTGAGACAGCACTTCCCTTCCTCCCGGGGCCAAGCACAGCTTCTGCTCTCTCTCCGTTCCCAAAAGCCCCTCCTAGCTTGTGTGTGGATCCTTTCTCATACCTCCCCTGCAAAGGTGCGGCTCTCTGCCATCAGCGATATGGTTGTGAGAAATGGTTCTCCCCCTGCAGGGACCAGTGACCTTGGCCTGGCTGCCCATGGGCCCTGGTCTCCCCCCTGTAGCGACCAGAGACCTCAATGGCCCTAGTTCCCGTCTATAAAATGAGAGGCCTCTCAGGCCACTTCCGGCTCTGAATTTATGTCATAAGACAACTAGCATTTATGAAGCACCTACCGTATGCCAGGCACTGTGCTAAATGCTGGAGATGCAGAAGACAGAAGAGAGTCCCTGCCTTCAAGGAGCTTGCAGTCTAATGGTGGGTGCAGACTTTCCAAGGCATTCTGGGGGTTCCTGAGATTCTGTGTATAGGCACACATGGGCAGATCACTAGCTCTTTTCAAAGCCTGAGTTATTCTCCAGAATGAGGCTTATAGCATGTAGATCTGGAAGGAGCTTATGGGATCCTCTAGTCCAGGCCCCTCATTACAGTTGAATTAGCTGAGGCCAAAGGTGACACAGCCTGCACACGGTCAGTCCCACAAGCTCTGAGCATCAGGCTCTCCGCTACCTATCATAGCGCCTCCATCATGATGCCTGTTACCTGACTCCCAGAATGGTGCCGAGGAAAACCCTTCTCCAGAAGGCCATTTAATCTCACCTCAAACAGGTGTCCAAAGGCCACCTCCCTTGGCTGGTTGCCATGGAGCCATCAGAGCCATCCCTTGGGTGAAGGCCTTGGGTTTCCAGGAGGCCTCTATGAAGGTCACCATTGCTTCCTGGTGCCAGAAGGACCGGATGTTGTTTCTTTGTGCTCTCCCAGCCTGGAAAATCTTTACATATGGGCCTGGGGATTGCCTGTTACCAGAGGACAAGGCAGGGTGAGCTTGGGGAGGTCCATCACCCAAAGCCTGTCCACCAGTGACAAAATAATCAGCCACAACAGCTCATGAAGACATGGAGGGCTTACAGTTTGGGTCAGCACAGGTATCTACACACTCATGAAGCCATGGGTTCACAAATTATCATTACATTAGCCCTCAGAGAGTAAGTCCAGGAAAAAGTGGGTGGGGAACTTGGAGCCAGGAAGACCTAGGTTTGAATCCCACCTCCCTAGCTGTGTGACCTTGGGGGTATCACTTCCCCTGGGCCTCAGTGTCCTCATCTGTATAATAAAGGAGGATTGGATTCAACCTCTAAGGTCCTTTCCAGTTTTTAAACTATGGTCTAATGAAATAGAGAGGAGATATATATAAATATATATATATATATATATATATATATATATATATATATATATATATATAATTTGATAGAGTGTAGAAATAGTCTGGAGCAAAAAGCATTGTGTGTGTGTGTGTGTGTAGATGGCGGGGAGGGAGACAGACACAGCACAAAGCCCTCAGTACCTGCACTAGTTACCTGAAAGCTGGGAGGGGACCCTCAAAGGGAAGGGAAGGAGCCTCAAAGTCATATTCCACCCCTACACACACACACACACACCCTCCTGGTTCCATTGTTTGTAAAAAGGAGAGAATTAGACTCCCTGGTCTCAGAGGTCCATTCTAGCTCTGGAATACTCCAATCCCCCTTTCAAAGCCTTTCCCTGCTCGCACTCAACACGTCTTTGGCACCAGACGGAGGAATGACCACCACCTGAGAAAGACCCGCAAGCCTGGTTCCCAGAAAGACCGCGGGGGGGGGGGTGTTGGGAGGGAACGGGAGGGGGCTGCTTGGATGATCATCTTGTAGGTTACAAAGAAGGAAGAAGCACAGAAACCAGATAGAGGAAACTCCGGGGGCCCCCAACTTCTGTCTTCATGGGAAGGAAAGTCCCCGCTGTGAGCCTGTAAGAGAAGCCAGGAGTCCTGGGCATGGCCATGGGATTCCCTCCGCCTGTCAGTGCGCGCTAGGGTGGCCTCCAGGAGAGCCCTCGCAGGCTGAGGGGCGCGCGCTGAGCCGGCCGGACCAGTGGAGCAGTCTGAGGGCAGGCGGACCCAGTGTGGACAGCGGCCATCGCCAGGTCTGAGTTGCTGAAGTGCGCTGCAGGCGCAGTGGCACACAGGCCCAAGGAGGTCGCCCAAGGAGGTCCACCAGTCCGACTTGTACGCGAATATCTGTGCCCTCCACACTGCCACTAAGTGAGCGTGCATTCATTCACTCATTCATTCGTTTGTCCATTCGCCCTTGGCTTGAGGACCCCCAGCAAGGAGTCCCCTGCTTCCTGAGGCATTTCGTTTTACTTTTGGACAGTCCTTTGTTAGGAAGCTTCCCCCCACCCCCAGCTAAAACCAGTTTTCACGTCTTCCACCGCTGTGCCCAATTTTGTCCTTAGGGGCTCTTCTACCCAAGCATCCTTCAAGGACATCCACCCCCTACCCCTTCCCCTGCCTTTTCTCCTCCATGCTGGCACAGTTTTAAGGCCCGTTAGTATCCCCAGGCCCATCCCTCTCCTCAAATGTGTGGTAAGAGCTTGGCACAGTCCTCTGGAAGCTGAGTGTCCAGCACAGAATGCAGGAGGCTCCCCCCAACCTTCACGGCCTCTCTCTGCTGCCTCATCTATCACTCTGCTGACTCCTGCTGCTGTGGCAGTATCTCCCTTCACGTCTTTTTTAGACAAGCTGCTTTCTAGCTGTTCCTTCACTATCTTGAACTCAGGATCCCACTAACAACAGCAATGATAATAGCTAACACATTATCTAGCACTTACTATGTGCCAATCACATTACAAATATTATTTGATGCTCATGACAACCCTGGGAGGTAGGTGCTATTATGATCCCCACTTTACAGATTAGGAAACTGAGTCAGGCAAGGTAAGTGACTATACCAGGGTCACACAGCTAGTAATTATTTGAGGCTGGATTTGGACTCTGGCTTCCTGCCTCCAGGCCCTATGCTGTGGGCACTATGGTACCTCATCGCTGCTCCTGCTGTTACATCGTTCCCTGTTAAATTTCATCTTGTTAGATTTTTTCCCAGCATTCTAGTTCATGGAGGCTCTTTTTTGGATCCAGAGATGCCAGTGTACATCACTGCCTGTTTCCGTTATTATTTGGGTCAATTGCAATGCAATTCAGCATGCATTAAGCACCTGCTGTGTGCCGGGTACTGAGGGTGCAGACAGAAAAACGAACTGGCTCTGCCCTCAAGCAGCTTACATTTTGTTGGGGGAGATGACCTTTACCCAAAGAAGCAAGGGCACATGAGGGCTTGTCCAACTGAATTGAGAGAGTTCTAGAAGCTGACCTTTGCATAATAGCTCCTTTGCTCTTGGTGTTGTGGGTGTCTGAGGTGATAGTTCTGCAGCCCTAGGGGAAAAGCTTTTTTTTTATTTAAATTAATTCTTTTTAATTAGCAAAATTTTATTTTCTCTCTGTCTTACCTTCTCTCCCTCCCCCACCCTCACCCATTGAAGCAGCCCAGACTACTTGGGGCTAGTTCTGATGTTAGGAACTGTTTCCCATGTAACAGAAACAAATTATCCTTCTTTCAGAATTTCTACTCATTCCTGTGACCTCTGAGGTTGAGCAGAGCAGGTCTAGACCCTCTGCCACGTTGTCTTTCACAATCTCCCTTTGTCTTCTCTTCCCCAGGATAGAGGTCCTAAAGTTGTCCACGTGGCACAGACTTAAAGCTCTTCACCAGCCCAATTTCCCTCTTCTGGGCACCCTAGCTCAGCAATATCCTTCAAAACACTCTGGGGGTTTTTGGCTCAAAAGGAGATGTTTGTTTCCGTGATTAGTTAGTGGAGGCACGGTGCCGGGCCTGGAAGCAGGAAAACTTGAGTTCAAATCCAGCCTCAGACACTTACTAGCTTAACCCCTCTCTGCCTCAGCTTCCTCAACTGTAAAATGGGGATTATAATAGCACTTACCTTCCAGGATTGTATGAGGATTGAATAAAATAATATTTATAGTGTTTAGTATGGCACCTAATAAATGTTTGTTCCCCTCCCCCTTTCTCCTCTCATTGATTGACTGACTGGGTTCGACTCCTGGCTCTGATATCGACCAATTATATGAACAAGAGTGAATCAATCCCTCAACCTTTCTGAGCCTCAGTTTCCTCATCTATAAGATGGGTAGAACAACACATATATTACCTTGCTCATAGGGTGATGGTGAGATCCAAAGGAGGCGATGTATATAAAGTGCTATGCTACCCAAAACCTCTTGGCAACCTCTCCAAGGCTGGAATGTCCTCTCACTCCCTTGAATATACAGGGCAGTTTCTTCACCACTAACAAAGCCCCCGAAACCAAGAAGAACATTTCACAACAAAATAGGTATGTGGAGGAGGGAGGGACTGCAGGGAGTGGGCCATTCAGTGAGGAGTGGGATATGATTCCAGGGTTCCCCAAGTGAGGTCCAATGAGGAGAAGGGACTTAGTCATGCAGTTTGTAAGTGGCAGAACCAGGCTTTGGATCCCTGTCAGTCACGTGGGTGAATGGAAGCATGGTGGTACCCTTGGCAGACCTAAGAAAATTCAAAAGAGGAGTGGGCTTTGGGGAAAAGAGAATGAGCTTGGTTCTGCACCGACCAAGTCTTAAATGTGTATGGGCCATCTAATTTGAGATATCCAGTCAGCTGATGGTGATTTAGGATTGGTGATGAGGAAGAAAGCCGAGCTGGACGTAGAGGTCTGGGAGCCATCTGCCCAGAGACCAAGTGTGTCGTGGCAAGGACTCTTCCTCAGGCGGCTGATCACTTCCCTAGGTCTCCTCCACCTCTGTGCATCATGGGATCATAGCGTCCCGGGATCTCGGCATCCTCTGACGTTCTGGGCGCTTTCTCTCTGCCAGGTGATCCAGAGGCATGGCCGACCAGAACATCTCCCAGCCCAGCCTGTGTAACCCTGTCTGGATGCAGCCCCTGACCGGACTTTATGGCGCTGTGTTCATGGGCGGGGTGGCCGGCATCTTCTGCATCTTGTTTGTACTGGTGAAAATGAACTCTCGGTCCGTGACCACCGCGGGGGTCATCAACCTGGTGGTGGTGCACAGCGTCTTCCTGCTGACGGTTCCTTTCCGTCTTGTCTACCTGATCAAAGATAAGTGGTACTTTGGGCTGACGTTCTGCAAGGTGGTGAGTGCCATGCTCCACGTGCACATGTACCTCGCTTTCCTTTTCTACGTGGCCATCCTGGTCGTCAGGTACCTCATCTTCTTCAAGCGCAGGGACAAGGTGGAGTTCTACCGCAAGCTGCATGCCGTGGCTGCCAGCACCGCCATGTGGGTGCTGGTGACAGTCTCCATCATCCCGCCGCTGCTGACCCAGTATGGCTCCCGTGGGGAGTATGACGACACCAAATGCTTTGAGTTCCAGGAAGAATTGAAGGACAGCTACGTGAAGATCATCAACTATGTGGTGGCCATCGTGGTCATCGCCATCGCCATCACCCTCTTGGCCTTCCAGGTCTTCATCATCGTGTCCATGGGGAGGAAGCTGCCCCATGCCCGGTTGTCCCACCAGGAGTTCTGGGCCCAGCTGAAGAACCTCGTTTTCATCGGGGTCATCTTCACCTGCTTCCTTCCCTATCAGTTCTTCAGGCTGTACTATCTGCAAGACCACACCCCCAAGAACTCATGCCACCCCAATGTGTGGTATAATGAGATCTTCTTGAGCATGACTGCTATCAGCTGCTTTGACTTGCTGCTCTTTGGCCTTGGAGGGAGCCGCTGGTTCAAGCAGAAGGTCTCTGAGCTCCTGAGCTGTCTCTCATGCTGTCTGTGCAGAGCCAAGATCTGACTGCCCACAGGTGCCACCAGCAGGGTTCAGATCTGCCGGGTGGCCCAGGAGAGTGAACTTTTTTTTTAAATGTTAGAGGACAAGGAGGGATCTCTAGAGGGAAAAGATTATAGGGGGTTAGAGATGGGTGTTTATATTTATGGGAATGGGAGGATAGGGGAGGAATCCTTGGAGGGGGTAGGTTAAGTAATAGGAGGGCAAGATAGCAGGTAGAAGTAGAGGAATCAGAAGGGATAGGAAATAAGAGATAGGCATGAACAAAAAATAAAGATTGGGAATAGAATTATTAGCGAAAATACATGTCTATATAAAGTGTGTGTGTATATATATATGTATATACATATATATACATATATATACATATATATATATATATATATGCACATATATATGTGTGTGTAGAAATATATCCACACTTAATTGTAGTCTTAGAGGGGTGGAGAGGGCAAAAAAGAACAAAGTAAAAAGTGCACTGAGAGAAAATAAAACTTACAAGGAAGCAGAGAAAAAATGGACAGCTCTCAACACAACGTGTAGTATTTCTCATACAGGCTTTCTTGAAATGAAAATTTATCGTTAGATATTTTGAATCCTCTTTTATGTTCTGCTATGACAAGACGTGCTTTTTTCCTCCCTTTTCTTACTTTGTATTTAAGTTCCAATATTTAAGTTTTTATGTGTTTTTTTTCTTTATTCTGTATTTATGTTCTGATATTTGAGTCTAAAATAAAATTTAAAAAAACAAAAATATTTTCTTAATGTGAATTTTTTTTTTTGAATGTAGCTTTCTTCATTTTATAGATGAGGAAGCTGAGGCCCAGAATAGTTAAGTGACTTGCCCCAAATCATACTCAGTGGGGAGGAGAGTCACCTTTGAACCCAGGTCCTCTGACTCTGCTTCTTCCATAGTTGCTTCCCAATGAGGAAGCTGAGGCCCAGAATAGTTAAGTGACTTGCCCCAAATCATACTCAGTGGGGAGGAGAGTCACCTTTGAACCCAGGTCCTCTGACTCTGCTTCTTCCATAGTTGCTTCCCAATGATGAGCCTCTCTGAAGCCAATCACCCCCTCCTGGGCCCTTCCGCCAAGAGGCCCCCCTTCTTTGTGCCCTTCTTCCAAGAGCCTGGCTTCCCCCTCTGTGGCCCTATGAAGTCATGATAGCTCATTCCTTGGTTAGAGATTTGAAGCTTTCCATGTTTTCTTTTATATTGAAAATTCACAAAACAAAATTAAGTTTTGCAATAGCCCTTGTGATAACGAAGTCACCCAGGAACAGGGATGGGGAAGCTACAGCCTCAAGGCCACACATGGACCTCCAGGTCCTCAAGTGAGGGCTTTTGACTGAATCCAAACTTCACAGAACAAATCCCCTTCATCAAAGTGTTTGTTCTGTAAAACTTGGACTCAGGCTAAAGGCCCCACCCGAGGACCTAGAGGGCCACGTGTGGCCTCAGGGTTGCAGGTTCCTGCCTTTGGAGTGTCAAAACACCAGAGCTGAGAACAATTTGGATGCAAACTGGTACATATATGACCAGGCTGGTTTATACTGTGAACCTCCTTGAGATGGGAGACGGGTAAACCGCATGAGATGGGCGTCCGCTCTTTGGTACTTCTGGGAAAAGTCCCTCCTGCCTTCTGCCCAAACTTAGAGGAAGGTGGGCAGGGCAGTGTGGGGACCTGTGGGGGATGGAAGAGTCACTGGGAGCCACTGAGGACATGGAGTCTGCAGGACGCTTCCTATCTGGGTCACTCGGGCCCTGCATCTGGGCCTCAGTTTTCCTCATCTGTAGAAATGGGGAGAATAACATACCCCCTACCTCAGTAGACAGTATGGTGAGGAAAGTGCTTTGGAACTCCCCAATGCCATAGACACAAGAGGTGTGGTACTTGGATGGTTACTTGTGTTCCTGACTCGCCCTTCAACACTGCAATTGGGGTCCCCAGCTTATTGTCCAGGGGAGGGGTGCTCCCCAAGCCCCCCCATTCATTTATATCCTGATTCACAAAGCCATTCAAGGAAGAGAGGAGTCAAAACCAGACCCAAGGGAGGGGTAAGACAAGAAAGTGCTGAAGATGGACGGTGGCCCCAGCCATCCCACCTGGCTGCTCTCCCTGTGGGCCTTTATCTGTAGGTAACATCTCTAGAAACAAGACCTCCAGGGCCCTTGCCCCTTGGATTGGACAGAAGGGAGTGGACTGGATGGGGCAGAGCTCCTCCAAGATCCTCGACTTCAGGAGGGGTTAGGCCCCTCCTCACCATTTCCCACCCAGCTGCAAGACTTCCTTGTGCCCTTCCCCCGTTCTATTGTGAGCTCCTAGAGGGCAGGCAGTGCAGTACCTGGCACATAGTAGGAATCATATCTCTCCTCTAGGGTTCACAGTACCTGAGGGGGTTGGGTGTGTCTCCCATCTCTGCCATCAGCTCAAGCCCCTCATCTGTGATTCCCCCGTTTTGGGAGCCTGGGTCCTAGCACCCCAGTTTCATTTAATGACTATCTCATAGCTTGTATAAATGAAGAGTTTTCTCAAAGATGGAGCTAAAACAAACAGTAAACGCTTTCCTGCACTTTGGGGACATCACCCCCTTTACCTTGCCTTGGAGACCCTGTTTACTCAGTGCTTACACGGCACTGGCTCCACCAAGTTCACATGCAAAGCCACCACTGGTCGCTGGGCTGGGTGCAGCGCGGGTCTGGAGTCATGGACTCCCAGAACCCGGATGCTTGACCTCTGTCTCTCGGGTTAGAGATGCCACCCCTTGCTCCTAGAACAGAAAAGAATGAACAAGAAGGCCAAGGACCCTGGCCTGTTTGGTGGGCCCCGTGTGTTCTGGAGGTGCTAAGGCCCCTCTCCTCACTTACCTCATGGTCTAGGAGCCCCCACACCCCCTAGCAGCAAAGCCCTAGCCAGCGCTGACTCAGCCCATTGTGGAGAGGTCTTGGATGGTGCCATCTTAGCAGATGTGGTGGGGCCTCTGAATACAGGACAGCTTGGGAGGGAAAGTCCTGGAGGGGGA